TTCTCATACACATTTACCAAAGTGCACAAAACACATTTTTGAGTTATTTTTAAATACTGCATATCCTAGACATACCTTCCTATCAACATTTTCACATGATGTCCTTCCCAGCTCTCTCTCCCTATCTTGACATCCACCCAACTTTGTATTTGTTGCAATGTGATCTAATGCTTTGGTGGCTACAGGAACATGCCCTCACAGCATTGCCTGGATTAGGTGTGAGAGGAGAGGGAAGAAAGGCACTACAGCACTAGAACATGGAGCATGGGCCCCAGTACTAAAAGGTGAGATAACCAAGAGCCAGTAAAGAATCTGTGATTTTTTTTATATCTGTTTTTTTTGTGTGACTGGGTACCTTTGAAGTGGAGATAAGCCATCGATGAAATAGTCTTTCTGAACTGCATTTATCTTATCAGTATACACTATCTGACATGCATATATTAGCTACATGCCTTTGAAAAAATGTCTGGGGGAAAAAAGGCTTTTATATAAGTACATAGGAAACCAGGATCAAATGATGCAAAAGATTAAGCACAGTTCTTTACTACATCAGGGCCTTTAAAAATGTTTTATTTAAAATTCATATTTTAAGATAATGAATAAAGGAAGAGACTATCCACATTCATTACACCGAGAAAGACTGGGTAACAGAAATTACAGAGAAAGATGCTTTCTTTTTGCTTTCAACAAATCCAAATCCTGGCAGCAGATTTAGGGCTTATATTCTTACCAGATTTTCTCAAGGACAACATGGGTTAACATCATGAAGTCAGTGAAGCTACAGCAGCACCAAACTGGAGCAAATGAAAAGTGAGGTTGCTCTATGCACATGGGCTCAAAGCAATTTGTCTTAGCCACCCTTTTATTATCTGATCTAAAATTAGGTCAAATGCTGCAGCTATTGTTTAGTCTTTATCAGATGGATTTTCCAGCGGGTTTAACTCTATTCTTGGTTACACAGGCTTAGAACTCATTCATCCTTTTAACAGGAATTTTGTCCTATCAGGTTTTATCTGCTTAATGACATGAGTCTTGTTACATGAAATTCACACTAAAACTTTGTATTGGGCTTGTTTTTTTCAGCCAAAGGTAAAACTACTCCCAATCTCCCTCTTTCCTCCTTCCCTACTACACAAAAGTAACAGAAAAAACTGTATTGAAACATATTAGTGACTCCTAGTGCTCCTGATAGGATGTGCCTAGAATAAATAAAAATGTGTGAATAAATAGGAAATGTGTTTTAGCACTTTCATAGGCAAATATCTCTGAAAAATTATCGTATCTTTCCAGCTCCACCAAGATATACATTTGGCGTTCCTACTTTGTTGCTTACTGAGATCTCTAGGATGGCAAAGTCAAAATTAATCACAACAAACCTGCTAGTTTAAGAGGACGAAATGCTCAGCTCTGTTCTCATGGGGAGATCAATGCCTCAGGAAGATGAATTCCATGAAATAGGAAAAAAAGCTCCTTTTCAGAAACAGCCTGCACAGAAGGGAGTGATTTCCTAGCATACTTGTGGTCCAGAAGTGCAATGGTGAGATGCCATTAAATTCCCTGAACACTTAAGAGAAGCCAGTATGTTGTCTTTAGACTCATACTCTTTTCCTGTTTATATTGCTAACATGGGCAGCCTTTGAAAAGCAGCAGCATCTTCGCTCCATATTTATAGATTACTCCCTTCCTGAATAACTGAAGCTCTTGGCCAGAGTGATGTTGCAATTGATTTTCACAGAGAACATTCATTGACTGGGTTGTTATGTACTTTCTGACACATGCCTGACCCTGCATTAAACAAATACAAGCCACTTTTTTCCAGGATGCACATTCTTCACACTTTCAAATTACTTTTCACTTAATTCTATTACATGCTCAGTGAACAGAGATGTTGCATGCTATTTTTTTTTTGTTTATTTTAATAGAGTGAAGCTCCAGCCCTTGAGAGGACAAAGAATTCCAGAATTAAGACTAGTGGTCATAAGGGAGAAAAGAGAGGAACAGTAGAAGGAGAGAGGAAGGAGAAATAGAAGAAGGAGGAAGAAAACAAGGAGAAGAAAGAGAAGGAAAAGGAGAGAAGCTTTTCTTACTGTATGACTAATTATGATACAGTTTGCGCTTGTAGAGATGGAATCACCAGGTTCTGGTATTAAGATACATAATAATGTAACTTCAGCAGACCACTTTACATGCTCCATTTACCCCTTACCTTTCCCAAAGGTCAGTGCTTACTTTTTGTACCAGTTAAAAGTGAGTACTGTGTCAAGCACGCAGACAGAGCTGGAGAGGTAGACTCTTCTGTCCCTCTTCAATTTTGGACATCCTTGATTTTCTGGCTTAATAAATACTGCATGGATGCTACCTTGCATCCCAGAATAGCACATTGTATAAACATCAGAAGACTTACCAGCTGGGCTTAAAGCTTATTAGGAAACAACTATTATATTGCCAATTCATATTCAGTCCTCTGAAGTCAAGGCTGTGAATACAGACAAGTCTTGGTATATCAATCTTAAGGTCCTTTCCAACCCTAACTATTCTATGATTCTATGATATCTGAGTCCACAGTTTAAAACAGTGATCTTGTAGACAAAGTGACATCACAAAATAAGGCGTATACCCCACATTATATGTCTGAGCCCCTAAAAAAAAACATCCTGAGTTACCTGAGAAATTATAGAAATCTGTGAAATTGGAAATGGACAATTTTGCAGACAGTGTGCTTTTGCTGCTGTTTGAAAATCTGCAGTTTGAAGGCCTTCAGCCCTTAATCCCAAGGAGTCTAAATGATTTGCCTGCACCACAGCTGGCCTAGAACCCCAAAGTGATAAACAAGAAGTAAAAAAAAAACCTTCAGTAAAACACAAAGCCACATTTGAAACATGAAACTCCCTGGAATTTATTTAATTAGACTGTTTTAAAAAGGCCCACCAAGACTCTAGAAAAATCACTGAATTCATTGTTCTTCTATCTCCAAGACATGCTTAGCAAAAGAAACAAATTATATTTTGAGTGCCTTCAGCAGAAATTTGGACACCTGAGAAGAAATGCCAATTGATATAAAATAACTTGCATACACATACAATGATTGTATGTTATATAGAAATTAAGCACATAGGTATGGCAGTACACAAAAGTCCATCAAGTGAAATACTTTCGGACTTCCTAAACTGGGTTAATTTCATGATCGTCTGCCAAGGGCTAACTGAAAGGACATGAAATTGACTTAATGAGTTAACTTAGAAGTCATAATCTAAAAAACCTGTTCAAACACTGCCAAGCCTCTCTGAAGTGCTGACTGCTTAGAAGAAAATAAAAATGAAATAGCGCTCTTTTGTTTCAGTACAGAAAAAGGAAATCCTCCAAAGTCTTGAAAAGTTTCCTGCCATGGGAAAGCACTACGCACATACATAATGGCATTTCTAATTTGGCAGGAAGGCAGTCTGTATAACAATTTCAACTTCCCTTAACCCTGGGGAAACTCTTATATGAGGTTAATCCTGTACTCAAAAGTACAGGTCCTCTATTTCCAGTCAGTTACTCAGACCAAAAACATTCAAAAATGGGTATTTAAATTGAACCTTTGAGATTTGTGTCTGGATGTTTACACAGAAGGTAACTCCTCTTCAAGGATTTAACAACATACTACTTTATCAAGAAAAACAGGAAAATCAAGCTCTCAACTGAGAGTTTTAAATGACAGAGAGTCCTTCCTCTAACATGTCTGTGAAAAGCTTTATTTGGCTGGAATCATAGAATCGTAGAATCATAGAAGAACTCTCCTATCTCATTATAAATTGTTAGGCACAAAAGTGCAGGAAATAGAAATATGCTGCAAACCGAGCTTCTAATGACCTTTTCTCACAAAATGTGCTTTTACTGAGGAGAAAACAGCGGAACAGATATAATTCCAGATGATATATTTTGTTCCCCTATACAAAGCAGGATTTCATCATGTGAAAGAGAAATGGGAGTCCCCAGTGTAACTACTCTATTACAAAGAAAAGCATCTCTTTGAAAATTAATGAACATTAAATATTTGTACAGTCAGATGAAGATCTTTTTTCAAGGAACTGGTTGCCCTGTGTTCTTGGTGTCTAAGCTGGGAATGGTTCAAAATAAATACTGAGATTAGTAGCCATGAATAACAGTGATGAATTATTAAGGCTGAGATGACCACTTTCAAACTTGTACTACCAATCTGATTACAAGATATGCTAAATACACCCTTCTTTCTATGTTAAGGAACAGCAGGTTTATTATATGGATGGAGAGATGCATATTTTATTTGCAGAAAAGGACCTGGGGCTCCTGATGGACACCAAGTTGACCAAGAGTCAGCAACATACCCTCGTGGTAGATAAGGCTAATGGTACCCTGGGCTGCATTAGAGAAAAGTATTGCTAGTAGGTCGAGGAAAGGGATCCTTCCCATGTGCTCAGCACTGGGGAGTTCACACCTGGAGCGCTGGGTCCAGATCCACTTTTTCACTGTGAGGGTGACCGAGCATTAACACAGGTTGCTCAGAGAGGTGGTGGGGTCTCCTCCCTTGGAGATATTAAAAAGCTGCCTGGAATAAGTCCTGGGCAACTGGCTCTAGGTGACCCTATCTGAGCAGAGTTTAGGACCAGATGACCTCCAGAGGTCCCTTCCAAATTCAAACATTCTGTGACTCCATTAAAGGAACAGCTGTCATCTCATTTTATAGCTTACTTTGGTAATATTCCTATTAACTGTCTTCAGACATTTTTCTTGAGAAATATAACTGCTGTACTCAAAAAACAGTGGGTTTGATGCTTTCCCAACACACAAAAGAGAAGAACAAGATTTTGCTCTTAAGAACAGTATAAACTGAAATTCTTAACTGAAAGTCTAGTACACATTTGGAACTGCAGAAAATACAAAGCCTAACTGGCTGGAAACAAAATCTCTCTCCCAAAGGGAGACTCCCCTTTTCCTCACCCAAACATCATCAACGCAACACACAGAGCAAAGACACTCACATGCAATTCGGACGTAGGCTTTCCTGCTCTTGGTGGTGCCTGCAGAGCTCCAGGCAACGCACTGGCACCAGTAATCTTCTGGCCCAAACAGCTCCTCCACTTGCTGGCGGGAAATCTCAATGCTGACCTCTCGGACAATCAGACCTGTCAGGGTACAAGTAATGCTGATCAATATTAGGCTTAGAAAGGATAGAAAGAAAAAAGTGTAGGTACACAAGCCTGCTTGCAAAGTTGTTGTGAGACCTTATAGCTCTCTACCAAAATCTATTCAGCAACACAGACTGTCATAAAGATGTGAAGGAAAAAACCCACCACTTTATCTGCATAAGAGAAGTGGGCAAATGAATAACTGATCAGTGTGATTTTTACTTTTATCTCATACTGTGTGTATGTTAAACAAATAAGAGGAACAGCACGCCAGCTGATATAAATCCTATCAAGTCCCTGGGACAATTTACATGAAGCAACAATCCAACCCACTTTTAGTTCAATTTATATGACTCCCTTAACCATCTGGTATTTCATCTCCTTTTGCTACTCAGCTACAGCACAGGAAGAAGTCGCGTTCACTCGAACACTGAACTGCCCAGGAAAATGGATTTTACCATTGCAGAAAATGTCCCAATACTCTGTAAAGACAAGCACATGGGCTGCAATACAGTTATTGCAAACTACAGTTTGGGGACTATTATTGTCATATAAACTGCAAATAGTGTGGTATTTTTCAGGTGATTTTATAATACAGTGCCTGACAGTCTCCCTGGCTCTTCCCTCCATAATGCATCTCAGCACAACCCCTCCCCAAACCCACACTTGCACCAATGATGATAGTGACTCATTATCCTTCCAAGCAGACCAATACTTACCCACATATGCCACACTGTACTCTCTGTTGGGAAGCTGTTTTGCATCTTCTAAGTACAAGGAAATATTGTGGTGCCTCAGACACCACCACAAGGATCATTGGTAATGTGTCGATACCCTAAAGACAGCGACTGTGTTTCATACTGACACAACTCCTTTCTCTGCCTCAAAATGCACTGCTTGTTCAAAATGCTCTTAATTCCAGCCAAGATACTGGGTAGGGGTAAGAGAGAGTGCTTACATCCTTGTCAGCATATTTGGTCTTTGTCACCAATGCCAAAGTATCAGTAAACTTATACTGTGTGTCCAACAGCAGAAAGCACCATTGCCATTTCAAAAACATGCTCTTGCAAAAAGCCTTGAATATATAAATCCACATAGAAATATTTTGTGTAGTGAGGCTGATTTCCTTTTTCTTTCCAGAACTGCCAGGAAACTTAGCTGAAAGATCCTTGGATCACAGCATGCACAGTTTGTCCCCATCACCAAACACCAAAGGGCAGGTCCTTCTGTTGAATGCAGACTTCAGCCCATGGAGACCAGCTACCCTCAGCCTCCTGCCACACAGCTTACAAGGTGATATTCATAACATGAATGTTCCCAATTGTACAGCATGGCATGTTCCTCAAGTGCTGGAAACCAGGCCAGCCCTTTGATTTGCTCCAGCTTCACAGAGGCTCCATTCAGGGAGCCAACGATTAATTACTGTTTGTACACAATTGTGCACTGTCACTGAGGCAGCATGCTGTTTGCATCCAAAACTTGGTTAACAACAGCAGAAAGGAATTAATGCATGTAATACCATAGACTTCTCTGGTGGGAATGCCTTCTAATGAGATACATTTTCTTGCTAGATACTATCATAGCCTAGCTCCCTTTTTACTTCATTATCTTTGACATCTTTTGCCATTGAATAATCAGCTACTTTGGGGGAAAAACTTACTAGCTTTCCTCCTTGAAATAGAATACTTATAATATGGCAACTGCATTCCACTCCAAAAAAAATGGAAATCAAAGTAGTGCATGGGCATTTGATATGCAGTGAACACTGTGCTACAAACTTGTTCTGCTTTGATGAGTTAATTTGGCTCCAAAAGGGGTCTGAGGGATAGCTTTTGTCCTGTTGAGAAGAGCATGAAGAGGGTGGGAAGGGAGGATGTACATTACATGCATAAAAATAGTTGTATTTTCCCATTACAACTACTGCTAGCCTAAAGATTACTTTAGTTTACTCCCAGTTTTTATAGCACTAGCCCAGGGAGCCCTTGAAGGTTACGATATTATGTTTTTATAATAAGGCTGATTATGACAGAGCTTGATGGAGCAGTGAACTTTGTTACCTGAGGGCTAAAGCAAGCAGGCTCATAATAACAGTACCAGTTAATAAGGATTATGAAATAGTCTTAACATTCAGGACACAAACACCGTTTTCCGATAGTCTGTTGAAGATACAAAACCATAGTTCTCACTGAACTTACCAGCAGAACTTTTTATCTCTGACTTCCTGAGATACTTTCTAATTCAAAGTAACAAGTTGCTCTAGGTAATGTCTTCTGGGACAGCTGTGGAGTACTGATAGGTTTCAGGTTATTCAAAGTAATTTGGCCTTTGATCTTTGAGTAATATCAACAGTTGTGCTATGACCAAATAGATGCCCCCTCTGTTTACAAGCAAAACTATTGTGTCTTTATCTCCAATGTAAACACTTTTTCCTTGAGTTCAAAAAGTACCAAACCAGTTGTTGATGCCATGAACCATTCCTTCCCAGCACTGCCACTGCCACCTCATTGCACAAGCAGCCACACTGATTTAGGAGAAACCTCTCACCAGCTGCAACGCACTCAGCTTCAGGCTCTGGGGTAAGTGCAAAGGGATGTGTTCCCTTCTTGTACCAACTCCTTCTGCCACCGCACTTCAATATAACCCCTAACAGAAAATCCCTTTCTAGGTTAGATTACAGAAAACACTGTTTGCTGAGATATCTCAGACAACAACTGCCTTATTACTAGCTGACGCACTGCTGTACATCAGATTTCACAGGGCAGCTGGTACAATCTGTCTGCTTTCATTCAAGACTGTATCGCTTATCTACCTCAGGTGGGCACCAAATGCAGGACAACCCTCATATGATGACTTCAGAGATCTTCATCTTATCCCTGTCAAAGCTGCTTCTGCTTCTACATCAAAGAACAGTAACTGGAGTCATTAAAAAGAAAAAAAAGCTGAACAACTCTAGTTCAGACAACTGCTTATCAAACTGTTTGATTACAGGTGAGGGTGCAACCTCTGAGTGCAAAATTAGAAGTCACTTTATAAAATGAGTCCCTATATTTTGCTTAAATATATGTAGGATAAAACAGATTAAGAGATTAGCAGTAATTTACAGAGCGTATAGCCTAGCTGATATTGGCCAATTCTACTTTGCCACAGAGCAAAGTAACAAATTGTCACCTTCTCACAGAGAACATCTCTTCCACTTTACGTTCTTTGTTAGAAATAGACTGAATTTTTCAGTCTAATTCCTCATACGGCTCAGCTATACAACAGGTGAAGATATACAGCATAAATGTTTTCTTACAACTCCTGAGTAAGCTGCATATTTTCAGAACTAATACAATCACACAGATGGTGGCACAATCCACCAGAAGTCAGCATCTTCCTGTTTCAAAGCAATGCAGTAATGCAGTGGCAGCTAGAATGCTTGATAGGTCCCTTCTAATGGGTATAAGTACATAAAGAGCTGACCAAAGGGATATTCCAAACCATATGATGTCGTGCTCAGCATATAAATCTGGGGGAAGAAGGAAGTGGGGGTACATTTGGAGTTACGATGTTTTGTCTTCCCAAGTACAAGTTACATGTGATGGATCCCTACTTTCCTGGAGATGACTGAACACCTGCTTGTCCATGGAAGTGGTGAATGAATTCCTTGCTTTGCTTTGCTTGTATGTGTGGCTTTTGCTTTACCTCTTACACTGTCTTTATCTGAACCCATGAGTATTCTCTCCCCCATCCTACACAGGGGACTGAGCAAGTGGCTGCATGGGGCTTAGTTGCTAGTTAGGGTTAAACAATGACAACCAGTGCAAGAAACCGTTTTACCCCTAATAGTTTTCTGTCCAGTTGAGGACAGAGAAAAGCCCACAAGAAGACTCAGGGCATCTGGAGTAATCAGTCTGCAGTTATGTCCCAGTCCCATGAATTAAATAAGTTCTCCATAAATGACAGATTTTGCATATTTAGTAGCACAGCATATACAATCACTCATTTCAATAAAATAAATTTATCTCTGGGACTAATACAACCTGGGCTCTGCAAAGGAGTATGAAGGAACCAGAACTTTCTGTATTTCTGTATTTGCACATTAATGAAGGATTAATGGTGGGAGAGAGGCACAGGGAACCTTGTTCAGTCTGCCTACTGCTAATGTGTGCAGCCAAACAAACACTGGGGAGAGGCACTGGATGATGGTATATATCAAAATAAAATTACTACCCCTCTTGGAGCAAAAGGAAGTGTGATAAGGGAATTGTGCCTTATATACATGGTCTTTTATTATAAGCTGTATCCTAGAAACATAATCAAGCAAAGACACACTTCATTCACATGGTCCCCAAGTGCTTAACTTAGCTGGCTATACAAATTGTAAGGTAGATTATCTAGTCTTCAGAGGCAGAAATGTTATCTTTTTTTAATGTATGTAAATGTAATGTAATTGTATGATATTATGGTAGATTATTAGTAACTGCAGTCATAACTCATGGGTTCCACATTGCACCCTTCAAAGTAACTGGCAAATTTCCCAATGATTTTAATACGGGCGGATTTGCCAATCAGACATTTCTGTCTTACAAGGTTCTGCAACTGTATGTGACTATGCAAGACAACAGATGATCACAACAAACACCTGAAAACAGAAGACTATTATCAATTAATCAAATGCAACTATCCAGCCTAGAGTCAGTCTAGGTCAGAGAGTTAGTAGCTACACCTCACTGGGCATCATCCTGCCAATTATTTTGATGTATTATGGCTGCCATAAATGTTCACCATTTGATAGTAACACCCCACATGTGTGAAAATATTCCTCAAGATTTTGATAGAGCAACTTTTGTGGAAGTATTATTGTATTGGCATGTGTTTGACCCTCTGGCACAGCACTAAACAGGAGCTATTTAGTTGCAAGACTAAACTGTGCTTACAAACTCTAAGAAACTGCATGGATAATTTGCTTATTTTCTCTGTATGTAGAAGTTCAAACAATTTCTGTGCCTTTGTGG